GACTACAAGTATGAACTGCAGATGTGGTCTTCTGTATCACAGAGGTATCTTATTCAAATGAACTAGTTATCAATTATTTTCTACAGTGTTTTCAAATCAATGAAAACAGGTGCCGTGAAAATTAAGAACAGTGTGCCCTTGACTCACATAACTAATGTGGTCAACACTAGCTCTTTAACTTGAAGGCTAATAGCTTTCATGTTGATCATCAGAGGAAAATGCCATTTTGTTATGAGTACATCTCTGCCAAAAGCCAATTAGCATTCTGATTCCACCTATTTAATGCCCTCATCCAAGGTGTAAGCAAATATTCTTTAAACTTTAAAACAAGGATCCAACACTATCTGGAGAGACTGACAACCCACCTTGAAGCTGGCGGTACACTGACCTTAGCAGAAAACCAGTAAGTGCCTAATGTTCCATCGGCCAACACTCGCCTGAACAGGTAAAGGGGGTGCCAAGATGGCTAAGACACAAGATGAATAAGCACCTCCTCCCTTGTGCTGGGGTCAGTGATGCCGTCTTCCCTTCTTTCTCTTTGTGAGTCTACATTGAACCAAAATAACAGCCAAAAGAGAATATTCCTGAAATGGGCCACAATGTGAATAAAGTGAGATCTAGTTCAACTGACACACACATTCAAATGTATTCTAAAGAATTATAGTTTAGAAGCATTACAGTTTTGGAGTCAGTTGGAGAGACCTAAGTTCAAATCTCACTCCTGAAATTTACTACTCTCATGATTTGGAGTAAAATTAGCATCAATGATCGACACCTGCGGGCTTGCTCGTGTGCCTGGTGGTGGCACCTGGAGTGTAGCAGCAGAGGGTAGCAGCAGAGGACTGTGCAGTAGAGACCAGCAGAGACCACAGGAGAATGCTGGGGCCCAGGAGGCCTGCCCTCTGCACTCACTCTCCAGGGGGCTCAGGGGGGCCCAGTCATGCAGCCCACACCAAACTCCAGGTGCCTCCATCAGGCACACAGCAAGCCCCGCATGTGTCAATCATTGATGCTAATGTGGGGGACAGGGGACCTGGTAACCTGCATGTACCCAACAGTACACTTGCCACCATCCTGACAATTGAGAAACTGAGATGGTAGATGCTGTTGGTATCTTGAGTGTAACAATTCTTTGTTGAACAGGCCTCTCCTGTGCTTTGCAGGACACTGGCATCAGAATCCACCCACTAATTGCCAGCCTCCTGGACCAAGACTCCCTGCCTCCCTGCCTGCCCTCTACAGGGCATCACAAATGGTGTAGAAGATCAACAGCCTCAAAAAGTCACTGGGAGCCCAAAGATTCCTCCTTCATCAGCCTATCCAGATCACAGAAAACCAGCTCTGTGTCTTCTGGTACTACATAGACTGTTGTCACTTTTCTAGTCCCTTTTGAGTTGAAAATTTTCCATGGAGCTCATTTTAAACCAGGTCTTTTTTTTTTTTTTTTTTTTTTTTTTTTTGGTGGAGCAGAGAAACAAAGCTGGGAAAGCATTTTCTCATAGCAGAGAAAATAAGGTAGATAACTCCCAAATTTCATATTCAGCAAATATTAACTTTAACAAACTTGCAAAAGTTCTCTGATTTGTAAATTAAGAGCCTGTCTAGAGAGATGATCCAGTTCCAACCTAACTATTGCCTCTTTCACTCTGTCTCACTAATATAATGTCCCCTCTTCCCTCCAGACCAAAACCCCACAGGACTGTTAGCCTAGAAGGCCCCTTTCCTATGTCTGTCTTCCTGGATCAGCTCTGAACCTGATGACATTCCACCAGTGTCCAACAAAGGTAAAGTCAACTGCACTCAGGAGCACTCTCTGCTTTCTTGTGCCTTATAACAATTTTGATCCTTACTTACTCATAAATTGGGTTTAACACTGTAGCAGTGATCCTCAAACTCAGATCCACAGAGTTTTTAAGTTTTCTACCAAAACTCCTATTGCAGTTTTATTTCCCCCCAATCTGAAGTTGGGACACAAGCACTGTCTGGTCAATCACCCAGCTGTAAGCACTGAAAGGCAGTTCTAGTATCCACACCTGAGCTTGAATAAGCAATAGTGTTGAAGCTAACAGGCCGTCTTCAACTGCTGAGGCTTAATAAGATGTAAACAGCAGTAAGCTCTAATACGTACGTGTTTTTACACAAAACAGCTTCTAGCACACCATAAAAGAAAAAGTTTTCCTATGATTGCAAGAAACCTAAATCACAGCACCATACAGAGTGGTAGAGAGACAAGACAGCTCAGAGAGACGCTATGGTAATATGTTAGCAACATCCTTGTTTTCTGAGCAGCCAAAAACTGTTGGCAGGATTATGTTGCAAATTTGACTCACCAGTATTGTGTTTATGTTCCTGTTTAATCTTTAATTCTCTCCTTAAGGTATTGTTAATAAATTCTGTTAAGGAATTTATGCCTGTTTGTACTGCACATGTATAAACTCATACAAATCCACTTTGGTAGTTCAGAGGAAACTACAGAATGTAAGTCTTAGAGACTTTCGTTTTGAGAGTAGCGAAAGGCCAGAATGCAGGCATTAATCCTCAATGTCTGAGGCCTCCAACTTACAGGCTCAGTGACATGTTCACTGACTGAAAAGTAGCTGTGAGACTTTGCTATTGTTAAACTTTTAAAATAGAAAAATGGGGATACTGATAATATAGACTTATCTAACTTTAAGTATAACATTTTTCCAATTGCTTTCTTTAGAGAAAGGATCCCTTTTCTCAGTCATCTGTACAATCCTGTAACACCAAGCACTATTCTGGCTATTGAAAGAACACCTTAGCACATAAAATCACCAGTACAAAGAATGACCCCTGCTCCCATTAAAGCTAACTTCTTACTGCCTCCAAAAATACTTTAATTTTTGAAATAAGATCCCAGTGACAAATTGCAATTCTGTTTCTAATCATGTTAACACCATGGTGTTGTGTTCCTAGACACTGGGAACTACTAAGCATTTCCATGTTTCATTAAACTTTCAATAAAGGCTTTGTGTATGTGTATATCCTTGAAAAAGAAAGATTTCAACTCATTCAAAATTGTGTAACACAAAGGCTTATCTGACATTCCCTTCACATGTGGCAAGTTCCAATAAACACGAGTACAAAATTAGTGCTCATAAAAGAACAATTAACATTTCCACTGCCAAAAAGTTAGTCTTGGCCTATCAGCAGATGATGAAAATAGAGATGTGGACAGACAAGCGACTAATTGCTATAGTGGCTAGCTCCATACAGAAGAAGAGATTAGAACTGAGAAGTGCTTAAAAAGCCAAAATCAGGCAGGAAGGGCTTCAGGACAATTCTGATAGAAACCTGAAGCTGGCATACCTTCTTCTTTCTAACACTGACTCACGTTTCTAACCTTTGCTGAGTCTACCTGTAATTTCTTTTAAATACTACTCCCTTATTATCCAAGATTGTTAGCGTTACAGTGATGGCAGGCACCACAGGCTATCTGCCCACACCAGCAGATCTGACATTCTGGTTGAGCCCTTTCAGACTTCAAAACTATTTTTTTTTTAAAGATTTATTTATTTGTTCATACAGAACTGGGGTACAGGCCAGAGGCTCAGGGGCGGTGAGAGGCTTCACCAGAGACAGAGTGGGGAGCAGAACAGGCAGATCTACGAAGTACACTGCTGAGGGGAGCAGCGGGCGGGTCAGGAGAGGTCTGCCATGCCATATGGTCACCTCCCAGGCAGGCGGGGATCGAACTCATGCTGAAGTGGCTTTAGCTTCTCAGTGCTGTGCTTTAACCTGCTGCGCCACCAGGGAGGGCCTCAAAACTATTTTTAACTACTGTGTAACTCTGAATTTTAAATCCTCCCCTAACAGTGGGGGCAATAATAAATGAAACTTCCCTGGAGAAGTCCAGAAATTATAATAACTGTCTTCTTGGAAAGATGAGGTACTTCATCAACAGATGGAAATGTTTCAGAAGTAGGAAAACTGAGGAACACATAACCAAATAGACTCAAATTACAAACCTGAGCACTAAAGCCAGCAGTCACGGTTACAGTGGTTGCCTACCCGTTTTCCTTAGAATTCCTCCACAAAGTCTTTAAAATCCCAAGTAAACATAGCTTTCTCGGCGCCTCCCCTCAGCCTCTTGGTTTATATAAGTCCTCCAGAGCAATTTGGGGGAGGAGGGAGAGTAAGCCTCTCACGGAAAGTTTAAAAGACCCAGATGCATTTCACTGACCTCTCTTCCTTCCTTCAGGAGGAAAGACGAAAACTCTCAGGAACCGGCATTTTAAAGTAATCGATTTTACGGCAGGTGGAGGAAGGAGAAAAGATTACAGGGCAGGGGCACGCTTTTACGACAGAAACCTTGACACCTTGAGTCCCGGTTTCTGGGATCTGTCTGGGAATCTGAGGGGGAGAATTCCGAGGAGAGACGGAAAGAAGGGCGGGCGGCATGCTTTCAGTGCCCACGCAGGGATAGATAAAATAAACGAGGTTTTCATAGTTTTAAAGTCTTGGGAACTCCGTATCGCAATTCTTTAAAAAAATCATTTTAAGAAGTGCAAACAGGATGGTTAAATACCAGCTAAGGAGGCGCTCCAAAGCATTACCTTTCCCACACCAGTGATTTTCCGATCGCGCCCCCTTTGCCAAACGGGTGCTCGACGCGGCTCACACTGTTTCGCATTACGGCCGACAGGACGCCGGGGGACTCGCTTGGGCCACAGAACTCCGAGCGCGGACGCGCCACCGCGCAGGCACCGAGTCACGCACGCGGGCCGGGAAGTGGGCAGGGGAGCGCGGCGCAGACCCGCCCAGCGGGAGCGCGCTGCCGCAGGTCACCAACTTCATCCAGACTTGACAAATCAAGAAAAGCGGCCCGGGAACTGGGCGAGGAGGAAACTTCAGCAATGGAGGAAGGAGAACAGAAAGCGGCAAACGGCGTGCAGCCGAGCTGTTGGCAGCGGGCGGTCAGGCCGAGCCCATGTCCCGCGAGTGGGCACAGGGTCCCTAACGCCCCCCACGGCTCCTACCTGGCAGCGCCCCGAGCCGGAGCGGGCGGCGGGCTGGTCCTGGGCCTCTCCTCCTCTTCCTCTTCCTTGTCCCGCGAAGGGCTTCGGGGAGCGAAGAACCGAGAGAAACTGTGCCAAGGGGCGCCGCCCCTCCTCCGAGCGCCAGACATCTCTTCTGCAACCCGCTGCCCGTCGAACTGGGTTCCGAGGACGGGAGTGGCAGTGTCCTGCGCCCTGAGCCCGGCCCGGCGCCGCGGGACCGGGCGAGGGCAGGACCGACTCTGCGCGAGCCACTGGCGCTACTCAGTCCATCCCGGGCGGGAGAGGCGCCGAGGCGACGCGCTCCCAGCGCGCGGCTACCACCAGGGCGGCCGGACGGCTCCTCCTCCCGCCCCCGCCGACCCGCCCTGTGGGAGGAGCCTGCTTCGCGGGCCCACCCCGTGGGCGGAGCCTATGGTCGCGCGTCCACCCAGAGCCCAGCTGCTGTCTTGGGGTTGCAGGGTCGAGGTCTGGGGATCCGCCAGAGAATCCGAGGTGGGAACGTTCTGCCAGCGTTCCTGGGGTCCCGGACTCCCGTTCAAAACTGACTCAAGTTGCAATCTATTTGACTGCACTCAGAATTCGCTTTCTATTACCGATTAGTTTTTTCTTCTACTGTCAGGGCACAGAAAGTTTTCCGACTTGTGGGAGAGGTTTGTTAACTAAAGTTTGTGAACACCTGGTAAGCTGCAGTGCCAGCTCTGGGCCACTTTCCAATTTAACAGCTCTCTGAAAGCAGTTTCCATTGGGACTGCAAAAGATGAGGTTACCTCAAAGCTCAGTCTCTCCGAAGTGAAGCAAAGCCAAAGGTGACTGTCTGGCCTGTCAGCAACTTATTTCTTGTTGGGCTCGCGTGAATGTGGAGTAACTTTTCCTACACGGAAGTACTTTAAAATTTCACACCTTAGTTATGTTACTCCGGGACACTGATCAAAAGCAAGTGTGATTCAAACTTGTAAAAACTATGTGGTAGTCGTTATACAGACGTCACTGACATCTAGAAATCAAAGATTCCTAAACACTTGCTTTAAAATGTTTATATACTGTATTACCAATTTAGCTAAAAAAAATCGACAAACATCAAGCAATACATAATTGTCTACAACTCGAAAAACGTACACTTGAAACCATCACAATCTATGTCATAGATCTACCCACTTCTGCACTATTATTTTGTGAGAAGAGCTATTAACATAAGATCTGCATTCCTAGCAAGATTTTAAGTATACAATGTGTCATTTTTATGTTTAGGCACCATGCTGTTAAGTAAAGCTCTAGGACTATTTCATGTGACATAACTGAAACTTTATAGCTTTGACTAATAAATACTTCCTTGCTTTCACCAACCCCCATTCTGGCAATTCACTCTGCTTCTATGGATTTGACTATTTTTGATTCATCGTGTAAGTGGTATCATGTAGTTGTGTACTTCTGTGTCTGGGTTGTTTCATTCATACATTAGTACTGACTTTTTAGTTTTCTATATACTGTTGGCTGGTAGGGAAAACACGAGGCCCATTCACCACAGGTGTTTTGATTTGTTGGTTTGCATTAAAGCCATATTGCCCCTGAGAGGGTACAGAAATCTGAAGTGATGTGGCATAATAGTTTACTAAAAAAATTATACAAATAAATGAGATAAAAATGAAATATCCAAGGCAATTTTGACAGGAAGTACCTGGGAGTAATACCACCCTGAAGTTGGAGTAACTCCCTCTGATTCCCCATTTTAGGGGGAGGCTGTTTATAGATTGGCTGCCTCAAACCCTAGGGTCTCAGCACCAGCTGATGGCTGTTACCATCCTTGTAACCCACAGCCGCCTCCCAGAAGTACTGTAGCCCTTACTCACTGCAGCTGAGTTAGGCATTCACCCTAATTTGTTTTGGCTTGAGTTAACCCATCAAAGTTAAATCATCTCAGTTTCTTTTAATCTATCCCTGAAGATTAACCAACACTTGGTCTTTTGCAAATCTTTCCCCTGTGAAAACAGGAAAAAAGCTAGAATAATAGATGAAAACAAAGTTCCTATTCTAACTGTATCATTTTAGGAGAAAATTTCCATGAAAAGGCTACTTACCAAAGAAAACAAGGAATCAGCAAAAAAAGTAACTATAATAAAGTAAAAATTAGAATCATTAGGCAACTGTAATCAGAGACATTCTGCAGGGGAGGAGATGGGAGCAGAGAAGGGGTGGAAGAGCACAGGGGACTACAGTGATGGTGCATGAGGGAATTGGTGGCGGGAATTTCATGGGGAAATCATGCACTGCTGAAAAATGAAGGCTGATATAATGAGTATATTAAAAAAATAATAATAATAAAGGCTACTTACCGAAGCCCACTCAATATGAAAGAGAAGAGCATGAAGCAAACTGTTCCTTCCAATTAGAAGACCAGACCCAGTGAATGACTGATCTTTCAGAGGAAGTTAAATGACTATCATGTGTGTCTTTTGGCTTTTGAGCGCTAACAGCAGGCCCTGTTCCCTACTGCCTATTCTGAAGGTGAATTGTTCAGGAGCTTTTCTGGGGGTGAAAGTGGATGGGAACCAGTAAGACTTACTACCAAATTGTGGTTCTAGCTAAAAACATTTAAGAATTTCTCTAACAACAACAAAAAAAAAACTCAAGAAAAATAATGTGTTACTCTTAATATTTCTTCAAGAAGCACTATTTCCAATAAGTGACAAGACATTGAAATCATATGTAAAGTCTGTAATGTTGAGATTTCATGTTTGTAGTGGACATGGAAATGATAAATTATGCCACTGTTCAGCTAAAATCCTTCTAATGGACCACTTGCAAAATTGTAAGATAATGAAAATGTTACTATTAAGGGTTCCTAAAGTGACAGTAAAAAACAGGTCCATGATTTTTCACAAAAGCAACTACCTTATGAAGGAAAGAATATCTATAATCTCGACTCCATGGTAGAATAAAACACTTCAATAAGTTGTAAATACAAATAATGTCCTGCTCTCCATCATAGCAAACATTGTCTCTGAAAAATTAGTTTGAAATCATAAAACAATCACCCCTGAATTTTCATTTATTTACTTCTGTAGTATTTAGTTTTTTTTAGTTATCTCCATCCTTATATTGTACTTTCATAGTAACAATTTTCTAAATACTAAATCCTAAGGTTTCATTAATAAGTCTTGCAAAAATGTTTAGAGTTGTGAGGATCTGGAGATGCTACCTCAGCACAGTTGTCTTCATTTACACAGTTGTTCTATAAACATGTTTAAGTACATGGAGTAGAAGTATATTTATTGGAAAACTGATGAAAGTATTTTTTTTCTTAAATTTTTGTTTTCAGGTGCCTAGAATAATTTTCTGTAAACCCCCTTTTGCTGATGCACATTTTAATCTCTCTCCATCATACAATATAGACAGTTAATTCACTAATGTGCCTTTATAAGCATGACACATAATAGCTCAGAATAATTTATTATATAAGAAACTCAGTTCCTATATTGTTTTCCCAAATTATTTCACCTGAGTATATAGCTCAGGGTCCTTCATTGACAGTGTTTTCCAGTGTGAACTCAGCAATGTGGCAGGATGGGCATATGATTTTATAAAATTTACAAAAGTAAATGTTTTAAATGCAGTTGAGTAAGACCTCTTTCCATTTGGGATTTTCCTTCAGCACATTTCTAGAATCAGTTGATAGGGAGGAGTTTTATTAGGGGTATTTTGGGATATGCTGAGAATTTGATTTAGAAATACATTTAGTTTGAATGTAGTGGGATATATGTGTTACTGTCAGCCTTTCTACAGCATTTAATTGCTTAAATTCCAATTTGTCCATGTTGTAATTCACAGAGAATTATACCAAGATGCAAGATAAGAAGTCCTATTAGGACATAAAGTTATCTTAATTAACCCTGACACTGAAAATATGTGGGGAGTACAGAGCGATTAAACAAGATCTAAAATGTGCACCAGCAAAAGCGGATTTGCAGGAAATTATTCTAGGCATCTGAAAACAAAAATTTAAGAAAATGAATACTTTCTGATTGATGTAAATGAATACTTTCTGATTGATGTAACTACTTTAATAGCAGTAACATGCCCAATAATGCACTAGATAACAATTTTATAACTGTAAATAACCCAAACCTTTAAAAATAAGTCTTGTCTTTTGTAAAATAAAATTCAATATACAGCATTAATTGTTGGGCAAACACCAGAAGCAGTTTTGTATATTTACATAGTCCTTCCATCAATAAATACACCCCACCAAATTAGATGAAGTATCTTTCAATTATATGCATAGAAAATTGTCATATGTACAAAAATGAACAATGATGTAATGTATATAAAAGTAAATTATAAAAGTAAGAAAATAAGGTATTATGGCCAATGCCAGCAGTTAATGGTAAAATAGACTGCTTTCTATAGACTTACAGGCCTACAGATGTAGAACTCCAAAACTCTTTTTAAAAGGATACGAGTATAGTTTAGAAATGCTAAGTTTTTAATTCTGAAAAGTCCACCAGAGGGATAAACTTCTGTATGTATTTTAGAGCACAGTATTTACTATGTAGCAGGTGGCCCAGGAATATTAAGACAGCTGTCAACATCAAGGAAAGCACCAGTCCATGAAAAGCGAGCAGATGGATGGGGACACTGCACGGGTTGCCTCCTAGAATAATAGCAGCGTGTGGCCGAATGAGGCAATGACATGCTGCCCAGGGCAGCAAAAAGCTATTACTTGGATATAAGAGCTCAATTAGGAGATGGAACAGGGGTATCCTCCCCTTTTCTTTGTTTGTAGAGATCAAGTTTTCATTAAAAACCACCTCAGCAATAAGAAGGGGTGGGTGTAGGTGGTGGGGATGATGCTAATATTTCTCATTCGGTTACATTTTGATTATCATGGTTTGTAACACTAGAAAATGCCTCAGTCTTGATGCTTCAATAAGAGCAGATGGTGAAATTTTTAAGTAATTGGTTATTCAGAATCCATGGGATGCATGAAATTTTATTGTATGTATGTTTTTTTGTGTGCAGGATATGGAGATATGGATCTTTCAAGCATACATCTTTTAATGCTCAAATTCAGATGTGTCAGCTTGATCAAAATGACATTTACTTGTTCCTTCCCTTGATTATGCCTATAAAG